AAAAAAAAAAAAAAAAAAAAAAAAAAAGAATACACAGCTAGGAGCCAGGGGTGCAGCTCAGTGGTACAGCACATGCCCAGCATGCACAAGCCTGTGTCTGATCCTAAGCAAAACAAAACACAGCAGCTTTTGCTGCCAGAATTGCCAAGATCTGGTCCTACATCACTTTCCATAGCCCTAGAATCGGCATGTGATCAGAGAGCAATGAACCAACTGAGACGCTGCTCTTTTTTTTTTTTTTGACATTATGAAAAAATAATATTTATTATATGACATAAAAATTTGGAAATGTATTTGTTACTTCACTGAGGCTGAGTTGCATAGCAGCATGTTTACAGATAGAGACTCTCTTTGAGCAATCTATATAGATGCTTACATTTCTAATTTAAGAGCTACAAGGCACCATTTTGTCTGTAAAAGGAGACACTGAGAAGATAATAAGAAATGTTTAAATTTACAAAAGATATGTAAAAATAGTTTATGCTAAAACATGGCATGGTTGTTTTTCTTCCTATAAAAAATTTTAATTGAGTTTATTGGTACATTTTAGGGATACAGTACAGTTACATTCATTGTTGGGATCTTGTACCTCTACATGACAGGTCTTGGTGCTCTTTACTTGGGGTCTCTATGTCTAGGTCTGGATTGCCAGATTCAGCAAATAAACATACAAGACATTCAGTTAAGCCTGATTTTAGAAAAGCCATAAATTATATGTGTAATAAGTGTGTCCCAGGAAGTGCGGAGTGAACTGTATTTTATCTGGCAGTCCTACTCTGGGTTGGGCTTCAGGTAGGTCCATGAGCCGTGCACATTCTCTGGAACATGTTACACGTATGTCTTTATGTGTACTTTTCTTTTTCTTCTCTCTTTTTTTTTTTTTTTTTTTTTTTTTTTTTTTTGGTACTAGGGATCGGACTCAAGTCTTTGTGCTTGGGAGGCAGGCGCGGCGCCACTGAGCTAAATCCCCGGCCCGTGTGTACTTTTCTGTGGAGAGGTTCAGAACTTCTTTCAAGAGGTTCATAATCCAAAACAGATCCAGAACCAGTGGACTAATAATGTTGCCAAGGAACCGTGGCATAATTGTAGCCTCACCTAGAAGTGGGCGAGCCCCTGTGATCCTATTACCTTTAAATCAAATTCTTCCTAGTCCAAACCCAGTCCCGAGCGAAGCTTCTAGAGCTGAGGACAGAGCAGGGCCGTCACCTTCCATTTGGGACACGCTTTTCCCTGTTGCCTCCACCCTCGTCTCCCGGGAGAGAGGGACCCTCATCAGGCAGCTGGAGAACCACGTGTGTCGAAGTGTCACTGTCAGTCTCCCGGCGCAGGAGCCGGGTCCCAGAATGTCTTCCTTCCAGGGTGCAGGTCAGCTGTGCCTGCGCAGCAGCGCCCCTGCCACATTCCAGGCCCGCATCTGTCAGGGCTCGTCAGCGCTGCTCCGGGAATAGAAACAGGCCTGCCGTGCTGCTTGCCATTTTAAGTTACGGCAGACCCAAGGGGGATTTTCCATTTGCTATTTTATTCCAAAGTGATTTTCACTACAAAATATATACCACTATAGAAATACGTGCATAATTTAAAAAATGAATTATGTAAAGTACATAATCCAGAGCTCAGCACATGGTAATCCCTCGACTGATGAATCCTACTTAAATAATTATTACTTTAGGCAGAAATGGAGATGCTGGTTTATATTGAATTAAAAACACAAACCTTTTTTTAGTCAAATAACATATTTCAGGTACTTGCAAAGAAGGTTCCGCTTTGTCAATAAGTCATATTTCTGGGAGTTCAAACAATTGTCTGATTTTTGCACTATGAATTTAGTTAAAACTTGTGATATTATATCTCAGCTGAACAGGTACCAAGTGGTTCCTGATATTTAACGAATGAGATTCTAAACTTTGTGAGCAAAGCTCAAGAGTTTGCTCTTCTTACTCTTCTCTATAAAATAGTGGAAAAGGACATACATTGGAAACTTTTTAGAGGCTTAAAATTATCATTAGAAATTGCAAGTAATTTTACTACTGCAGAACATCACTCATACTGTCGGTTACTGCAACAGTCTGCTAATTTATCACATTTCTCAAATCCAAATAATTGTTTTCTGCCTCACTTCATGTCAGAGACAGGAGCGGTCTGACCCGGTTGGAGGCACCTTCAGGAAAAGCCCTCTAAACCCCCAACACTCACACACCCCACCAGCTCCCACCCCACAGCCATACGCACCCCAGGATCAAGAAGACAGGAGGTGGCAAGTGCGGTCCCAGCTCTTTCCCCTCCTGTGTGCAGTGGCTGCCGAACTTGAAAAGGTGACGCTTTAGCTGCAGGCTCCCTTTGGGAAGGTGATCTGTGCAGACAGAGGGAAGGAGAAGAAAGATCCGGTGGGAAGTCACCAGCGGCCACCTGACAGCCTCAGTAGCTGCAATTTTTAGAATGACCTCAAGGGTTCTGCTGGCCAGGCAGCAGCCTCAGCCCTCACTCCCTCTTTGGCCTTCAGTTTAGGGCCATGCAGGGGCAGAGGGCGGGGCTCTGGCTGGTGAGAGGGGTTGGGTTTTTTGACCTGGCCAGATTTTTTTTTTTTTTAAAGTCAAGATCAAGCGCTAATCAGCCTGGGTGTGAGGAAAGAAAATTAACTAGGTGGGTGCTTCATTGTTGGAAGTAGAGATTTGAGTAGAGTTAGGAAGTGGGGACGAATTAGTTTCTAGAAAGGAAACTAGCCTGGTCACTTTGGGCCCTGTGAGAAGATTTGGTTATAAATAGACTGATCTTTAGAGGAGGCCATGTTTACCCGGAGGAGGCGCTTTCCACAGCATATCAGTAGGGTACTAGAGTTTCATTGTCTAATAAAGTGATGGTTGCAGCCGGTACTTGGTTATTCAGGGATCCCCAGGGCAGGGCTGAAACAAACACGCCTTGTAGCAAAGGTGGGGACTGAGGAATGGCTAATCTGGCCACAGTGCATGTGAGGAAGAATATTCAAGGATTGTAATTCACCATGTAATTCAGCTTTTAATAGGCATCAAGAGTGTGAAAAAGCTGCTATAAATGTTGACAGGACAATCTGCTGCAATAGTGGAAAATTAGATCATGGAAAAGAAATGTTCCACTCATTCTTCGTCATCAGTCAGATGTTGGGTTAAGCGTGGCTTTGTGGCCTTGGCACATGAGAACGTATTCTGCACCATGGGGACATGGCTGGTGTGAAGAATGCGTCCAAAGCCGTGCGTATTGGGAATAAGTGAAGAAAATAAAGACTAAGAGTGTGTGGAGGACAAATGAAACCAGATTTCTGAGAGCAGGTGGCTTGAGGGGCATTGGGGGTGCAGTTAAAAGGTTTTTTTCCCCCCATTAAGTTTATTGGTACATTTTAGATAAACAATACAGTCACATTCATCACTGGGATCTCATACCTTTACATGATGTATCTTGGTTCTTATTTTTTCCCCATTCCCCTGCCCTCCCTTCACCTCCTACACTCTTCCTATTTATAAGACTTTGTTTTCATTTTTTCCTTTTCTCATATTTTTTCTTTTCCCTTCTTTCCTTTCCCCTACTCTTCCCACTTCCTAGACTCCTTTAGACCTTTTCTTCCTACTTCACATTATCAATTATACCATTTGAACCTTGTTTATACTTTTAGTTTTTCACACCAGAGAAACTATTCAGTATTTACACATGTGTGTCCTATTTATTTCACTTAAGAGTATGGCCTCAATGTGCATCCTCTTAGCTATAAATGTCTCTAGTTTCTCATTCTTTATGGATGAGGAATATTCCATTTTATAGAAAAACCACATCTTTCTCCAGTCTCCAGTTGATGGGCAATTGGGTTGTTTTCAAGTTTTACCTATTACAAACTGTGCCACTATAAGCATGGGTGCACATATATCACTGTGGTATGATTCTTTTAATTCTTTTGAAAGATACCCCACAGAGGGATAGCTGGGTCAAATGGGACCTCTGATCCTAGGTTTTGTTTTTTGTTTTTAGGTATCTTCATATTGATTTCCACAGTGGTTGCATCAGTCTGCACTCTCCCCAACAGTGGAGAAGCATTCCTTTCTCCCCACAACCCCTCCAACATTTGTTATTGGTTAATTTCTTGATAGCAGCCATACTTTCTGGGGTGAGGTGGAATCCCAGTGTTGCTTTCATCTGCATCTTTTGAATGATCAGTGATGTTGAAAATTTTTTCATATGTTTATTTGCTGCTTTTACTTGTCTGAGCAGTGTATTTCAGATGCTCATTTTTAATTGGGTCTTTGTATTAGGGGGTCTGATATTTTTGAATTCTTTATATATTCTAGATAGTAGACCTTTGTCTGAGGAACAACTAGTAAAATTTTTTTTATTGTGGGTCATCTCTTAGCTCTGTTGGTGGCTTCTCTTGCACTGCAGAAGCTTTTTAATAAGATGAGATCCCAGTTGTTGATTCTTTGTGCAGATTCCTGTGCTACTGGGGATTTATTCATAAAGTCTTTTCCTATGCCAGTGTCTTCAAGAGTTCTACCTAATTTACTTTTCAATAAATTTAGTGTTTCTGTTTTACCATTTAGATCTTTAATCCACTTGGATTTTAGTCTAGTGCATGGTGAAAGACAGGGATCCAATTTTAATCTTTGGCGGGGTGAAATCCAGTTTTTCCAGCACCAATTATTAAAGAGGCAGTCTTTCCTCCACTGAAGATGGTTGGCTCCTTTGTCAAAGATGAGGTAGCTGAGTACAGCTGGGTACAGTTAAAACTTTTGCAGCCTAAGAATAATTACTTCCAAATGGCTAGATGTTCCAGGAAAATCATTAACACTAAGGAAGAAAAACTGGTAACTTCCTGTTGACAAAAATGGTACCTTTGTAAATAGCTGGTTTCCTGTGATTAGAAAGGTGAAGGTGAAAAGCTATAGGACTGCTGTGATGTGTTATCGATTAGATCTTGGATGTCCCCCCAAAACCTCATGAGTTCAGAAATGGGGTTTTTGGAAGGTGACTGGTTGTGGGGTACTATACTCATCAGAATCTTGGTCCATTGGTGAGTTCATAGGTAAAAGTGCCCTTAGGAGGTGGGGCCTGGTTGGAAGAGGAGTGTCACTGGGCAGGTGCCCAGGTGGAGCTTCCTTCCAGTGCCTCCCTATTCTCTCTGCTTCCTGGGTGCTGAAATTGGCTGGATTGAGTAGCTTTCCTCTGCTATGCCTTTCCACCTTGCCATTTCTGCCTCTTTCATTATTTCATTTTTAAAAACTTTATTATTAGTAGTATGTGCTTACAGTATATAATGATTGCATTCATTCTGGGGAGAGGGAACTTGTACATAACACATCTGAATTCTTTTCATGCTCCCTCCCCCTCCCTTGTCTCCATCTGCTGGTCCCCTTCCCAAGCCAGCTGATTGTGGACTGAACTGTGAGTCAAGTTAAACTTCTCCTCTTTTTGGTTGTGGCTCTTGGGTATTGTGTCTTAGTAATGGGAAAGTGATTGATTCAAATGTAGAAGGGACTCTTGTTCTGATGGGAGGTGGGCTTGGTTCTTCTCAAGTATCTTTCTAACTCTAAGGCTCCATGGTTCTATATGTCCTGGCCTCTAGTTCTCCTGACATCTCTCAACCACCATATAGCATTTAACTTACCACCTCTACTGACATTCCAGTTAGCCCTTTAGCAGGGAAAACTGATAGGATTTTTATTTCTTTGCTTCCACTCATGTATCTCCAGAACAAAATGTGTTGCAAGCAAATCAGAGTGTATTTTGTGGTTCACTTTCAAGCAGTCATTCTTTTGGTTTTGTGATGGGGTCTAACTAGGCGGATTCAACTCCTGAGCTTAAGAAATTCTCCCTGCTCAGCCTCTCAAGTAACTGAGACTACTGTGTGTGCTATGTGTGGGTGCCTCTGAGCCCGCCTTTAAGCGATTCTTCTTCTTTTTTTGGTACTGGGGATCAAACTTGCATCCTTGAGTTTTCAAGGCAGTGGGTGGAACCACTGAGGTAAATCCCTGGCCCCAGGGCAGAAGTCTTTACTCATTTCATTCACTAATGAGTCCCAAGGGCCTAAATAGTACCTGGCATATCATACATGGTAAATAATTATTAATTGAGTAAGTATAAGTAAATAATTATAAGTAAATAATTATAAGTAAATAAAGCAGCAGGAAAGATGATTGATATAGGAAATTACTACCAGCAGTGAGGCCATTGGTCTGACATGGCTTTGGAATTGGTTTGCAGGAAGAGTTTAGAAAGGCTTGGAGTATTGCTGTCCAGGAGCCTGCTCGCAGAAAAAGATTAGGGCAGACTATGGGCAGATTTCTGGAAGCTTCCGTTTTATTCAGGAAATGCACAGGCTTATATAGGGAATCATGGGGGAGGAGCATGGGAGGAACATTTAACATTTGGCCATATCTTATTGGCCAGACGTGGTGGAGTGATTTTTCTTGGGCGAGGTGAAGGAGTCACGGACTAGGGGCAGAGGTGCAGCATGTTGGACCCAGCATTTACACACTTAGGTGAGTTAGCTCAGCCTTAGCAAGGTCTCCGAGTTAGCCCAGGAGACAGGAGTATGGTACACCTGGCCCAGCCAGGCTTGAACTTCTCCCACATTGGAGATGTCAATTAGAGAAGCTCTAGAATACTGTAAACAGACTAAGCAATTTTTATGCGCAATACTGATCAGGGTTTAGGTGATGATAATGCTTTAAAAAGGCAGACAGTAGAGGCCAGGCTTAAGAGGTTTCAACTGGAAAGAAGGACTCCATTGGCAGTTGGAATGTAGTCCATGCGTATTTGCTCTGGAAGAAAAATTGTCTACATTTTGCTCATGGTCCTGAGACTTTGTGAGAGACTAAGAATAAGAACAGCAGACTAGTTAATCTGGCAGAGGAAATTTAGGTAGCACAATTTTCAAGCTGTATGTAGCATGGGTACTTCTGGTTGTTTTTAGCCAAATCTATAATAAGCATCAGGAACAAACAGCAAAGCTGGATGATTTGAAATGTTTGCAGTTTCTCTGGAAAGAAAACACCTGTAAAATTGGGGCAAAGGAGAGCGTCGTTGCTTAAAAGACTAGCATTAAAAATAAGTCAAGTGCTTTTTAAAGGATAAAAAGAAGTCTGCCTTGAGGATATTTCAGAAATCACGGAGACCACGTGTTGAAGACAGAGTCCTTGGGTTGCTTTCTCAAGAAGGGTCCCTAGAGAACTGATTTTCTGGGATTCTTTTTTTTTGTTTTTTGTTTTTTTTGAGACAGGGTCTCACTATGTAGTTGAGACTGACCTGGAACTCACTATGTAGCCCAGGCTGGTCTCGAACTCACAGCAATCCTCCTGCCTCAGCCTCCCAAGTGCTGGGATTACAGGCTTGCGCCACCATGCCTGGCTTGGGATTCATTTTATAGT